CGTTTAAGAAAAGTTGCATAATGCATATTTAGGTACTATAAAAATTATTTTATATTTTGAGACATGAAAAATATTATTAATTCGCAATTTAATTTGCGGGGTCAGTTAAACTGATCTTCAGAGATTTGATGTTGAATTATAAGATTTGTTGCAATTTGGGTCTTAATCGGGAGATTATTTTGATTGCTATATATTATAAAAAATTTTGTGCATACACTCTCTGGGTCGATATGAGCTGCGATAGCTTACGACGTAATTAATTTGATTGATGGTTCACACAACATTCCCATTAAAATCTGTGATTAGCTTTGCTATTGATCTTGCTAATTGAATGTGGTCCATATAAAATGATGTAACGTTTTTCATTTTAGATACTCTTTACGCTATCTGCATATTTTTTCTGTAAATTCGTCGTAGTTAGATTGTTGCATGTAAACAACGTCAATGGGGACGTTGACGTTAGGTCCAGACACCTGAATTTTTGACAGGTCTTTAATTGTAAGTCAAATTATTTAATTAGTCTGGTGAGTGGTGGAGTTTCACGCTTAGGTACGAAACGATTATCGCGTTTCTATGTAGTTGTATTCAAGTGGTTTGTTTTTCTTTGTGCCTAGAATTGTTAAATCTAGGGCAATTTTTTGTGTATATTGTTATCAATTTTGCTTTGTTAATTCATACTCGGCCTACCTATTACTTACTTACTTAAAAGTAGCAAAAAACGTTTTTTCAAGAAGGAAACACAATTAGAATTTTAGAAATACGGTATTTTTGTACCTCAGTACAATGCAATAAATAATAAATGGTGAAAAAGTCACCAGATTTGAACGTGCAGCGCGCCGCCAGAGTAGACGCCGCATCGGCGGCAAATATCTTCCTTATTTCATCATGAACATTTACTTTTCCGTGCATATTTAGATTCGATACAAAGTTTCGCTTCTAATGACCCATCTCATTTAGGTCTTGATACAAAAACCTTTGCTAGCTCAAAAATACCGAGTCTGTCCATAAGAGCCCATGTTAAAATACCCTGTTTTTACTGTCAAATATCTCAGAAACGGCACATAGGAACTCTTTTTTTTTTTGGACATTGGAAAGTGCGTCTCTCAGAGAATATACCATATTTTCGTCAACTTCTTGTTACTTTTTACCTAGGCGCTCTAACTACTTTAAGTGACAGTTCTGTTTGAATTCATGGGCATCTTTATTACTTTTTTTAAAAAGTTGATGTAATTTATTGGCGATAAGACTGCATTTTAATAGCTAAACCACTGCGTGTTTTTTGTACAAAAGTGTTATTTGAGATAAGATAGTTCCGTGTAAAGATTTTATACCTTGCCGTTAACGAGGGACAAGGAACGGATGCGTAATTGGTTGTTGTGTTCCTACGTCTTCGGTAATTAGATAAAGGTTTTCGAATTTTGGAATTAAAAGAGGGACTTTAATACTGAAGTTGCTGTAAGAAGGGGGCCTTTTGTCAATTTCGAGGCCGGCTAGTCAGTCCAATTCACAAATTATGTTCCTTGGTTCCCGAAAAGGAGGTAAGTTAAAAACAAAAAAGTGTAGTGCACCAAGTTTTTGACTGCATTAGTTTTTTGCCCAAATTAGTGGTTTCTAGCAGAATTTTTGGGATTTCAACAGAAAACTGTAAGTGTGTAGATTAAGATTGCGTTATAGTTATTAATTGTTATCGAACGCTAATGCGGGGTGTGTAAAACAGACTAGCTTTAAGAGGTATGGTTTTGGCCGAGCCAATATGTACATTTTATTTCGTAGTTAATAGTATTTTACATTATTAGCCAGGTAAGTGAGTTTTTACTGGCGATAGGAGAAGTTGACTGGCGAGCCGTCAGGCGAGCCTGTCATCTCCTAGAGCCAGTAAAAACTATTACCTGGCGTATAATGTACAATATTTTATTTGTTACTCATTTGTAAACGTAAATAATTAGTTCTTAAATTAATCTTGAAGAAATGTCTAAAATATCATGTTATCCATGTAACAGAGACTTCGCATTCATTCTGGCCAATGAAATTACTAGATTACTAACTTGTAAAATTTTTACAGGTCTGCTGTCAGTTTTACATCTGCTGTCAGTTTTACAAGTCAGTAGCGTTTAAACATGACGTTTACCCGTTTGCGTTTTGTCTTGTTAATCAACGTTTACAACTGAGTAACAAATAAACATTATAAAACTCAACTAACATGACAGTTGACGTAACAGGTGTAAACTGTAAGGGGAAGAGGGGCAGGGGATGAACTTAGAAATTCAAAATGGCAGTCAGCCATAAATAAGCAAGGTCGCGAAAGCGGCGAAAACCACGCAGTTATCGTCTAATATCCCGGGGTGAGTACGGCACCAAGGTGCATGTGTTGAGATGCGCTAACACCCTACCCATTCGCCCTACGTGAAGATATATGACCTTTTTGTAGCAAATTTTGTCTACTTTCCGAATTTCCAGATTTTCTCTGAAATACACAAAATAACGGTTTTTTTAATAAAAAAAAAACTATCTTTTCTCTTTTTTTCAAAATTTGTTGCGGAGGGAATTTTTGGTGGGAAGTAATATATTTCCTGAACTACTTATCGAACCTTCGAAGCATATTTTGCACGTGTTTGAAATTATGGAAAGTATAACAAGTAAAGCGTAGATATTTAATACTGTTTTACTAGTGCGCCAGATGCCTCTTTTCTCTTCACTTTGTGAAAACCCTGTTTCAACACTCCGTTCTCCAACATAGTATATTATATCTCCATTCCTAGTGAGTAGTTGTAGGAGTTGTACGACTTCCGACGCTCTATTCTCGCCTGACCCTACCGAATAAGTGTGTCTGCTACATAATGCCCATTTGATTTTGGAAATATATTTAATTGTTTTTATCAAAAATACATAATCTCAAAATTTGCAAGTAAATAATATGTCCACCAACGGCGCTAAGATATAAATGCGGATTAGTGCTAGGAACCACCAAAACAGTGACTCAGTACAAACTACGAGCATACTTTAAGTTGTATCTGGCAACGATAACTTCTCAAAAAGTATGGGACTTGCCTATCTATAATTACTAGATACAATGCCAAGTCGCCAGCACGGCGGTACCTAAATTATGAGAAAGCATGCGTGGCTGCGAGTCACATCTCAAATGAAAATCAGTAGTTACTCGCATCACGCCACCACAACTCGCTTAAAAATTTGTAAGATTCTTATATCTTGATTCTACGTACCTTGTTTTACAAACATGCTGCTAAATGTCATCGTCTTCAACATAATAGCGTTTCATTATCTCTATGGTTTGGTAATCAAGCAAGAAGAAGGAAACATTTTTTTAAACATAAAGAAACTGCCCTTATAGCGATATTGTGTTTATTATTACTTAGCATATTATGATGTCAAGATGTACGCTCACTTAATTACGACTTATTTATCTTTAGTGCAAATATTTAGCAATTTCTACAAATACACGCTTGTTACGAAGGAAGCTAAGAAATGATTCAGTAGTTAACTAACGACTCTCCCACGTAATTGTGTTCGTGCCGTTTTGCCCGCACTGTTAATTTTGCTATGAAAGTCTCAAAGGACACATTTCTTTTAGAAAATTGTATAAAGGCACATACTACACGCGACCGCACGCAAACAGATGTAACATGACACGACATATGTACAAATACTTATGTTTCACGTCCAATTTTTGTAGAGAGAATCAAAGAAAGTACATAATATTATAAAAGCTGTACCTTCCCAAATGTGCATTAACTAGGTTTGGTTTGGACATTAACTTGAAGTATTTGAATAAATTATTTGTTATAGCATTAACTCTAGTAATAGTGCATCTTCATACCCTAAAATACCCGAATTATTCAGGGTGTAGCACCTAAGATCCCTCGGATCGTAACTCCTTTACCATAAAAGATATCGAAAAAATCCTTGGAGCAAAATTGTACACAATTACCGCCGGCATGTTTCTAAATTTTTTTTTTATATAGTGATGAAATTATCGGGCTTTTTTTAACGAAAAATCGTATGGAAAGTGGTACTTTTTTTCACGATTTTTACTATGCGTTTCCATGGAGTTTAGTCCTGTCTATGAACAATAGCATCAATTTTTGAGTGACAGTAAATCGCGAATGTCAATAAAATTATTCAATTGTGGGTTATTATTACTGATTTGGGGAGTAGGTACTTCAAAAGTACTTATTTCTTTATGTAACATGTTATGCTTTTTACAGCATCAAGGAGTTTTTAACAAATGATTTTTCTGACTTCGGTGACACTGTTCTCTGTGATTAAGCTGTGATATATAGTAATTGTAACCTGTGATATTGTTCGTATCACATAATTATGACGAGTGTTAAGTTAAAAACTTTGAATGTTTTATTTACACAATATAAGTTATTATTATTATTATACCCCTAACTTTATCGATTTCGCTGTTCTAACCTTTTTTCGTTGAACTTCAAGTAAAAAGTTTCTTCTTTATAAATAGGAGAAATTTGAACCGTTTATTTTATGAACATATTCGGTAGCCTTAATAAATTATTCTACGTTCAACTGTAATATTTAAAATGTAACACAGTTTATAACACTAACAAGATGTGATGTATTGCTGACGGATTAATATACATTACACTGACATAATCTAATTTTGCATTATTAGCAGAACTTGGAAAAATTGTTACTGTCCGTATAATCTCAAAATATATTTTATGTGTTAAATCTAGTTCTAAATAATATTGGTTATGAAAATATGAAACGGACTAATATTAATGTCTGAAACAGAACAGCATTTTTTATTAGGCATGACTATATGTGTTTTTCACCAGAAACGAGAAAAATTAATGGAAGCTATAAGTTCCTAATTTTACTCCAAATGTAACAGTGCTATACGGACTAATTTTCTAACAGGCCCGAGTGGTTTATTAAATTGACATTTTATCGTGTAACTTTGGTTAGTTAATTGAGGTCTTCAATTGCGTACCTAATAAAGAAACTATTTTTTATCTTACCGGGAGAATGTGGTGCTAACGACGGCATGCTAGGTGGTCTGCTCGGGCCCCGAATGCTTCCTCTGGAACTTCGTCTCTCTTGATGCAATATTTTGCTGTCTCGTAGCAAGGAAACGTTCATTAATCTCGGATTAGGTGTATTAAAAATGGTCCTGTTTTCTCGCCATCTTGCACTATAAATTATATTCCTATTAGAACTTGAAAGAAATGGATACAAACTAGTATAAACGAGTGCAACAACTTTGAAAATATATCCCCCAAGCTTTATACACAATATTACAAATTGCGACCCAGTTTTTTTCGCAAAGATTATACCTCGTTTCACTCCCTCCGTTAGGATTAAGACAAAATAAATTGGAACGTTTGGTTCTCATTAGCCGTTTGTCATGCCCATTTGTTTCGAGCTTTTGAGAGACGTCTCTCGTCATGTTTTCCTGAAAAAAAGTTTCAAACTGGGTCAAGGAAGTTATCTTATAAGAAATGGCAATACGAGTATAGATAAACTTCTTGTATTTCTCCTACTGAAGTATGAAGATGAATTACACACTTCAAACGTCATTGATGAGTACGCAATGAGGGATGAAAATAGAATACGGTTTCATTGTCTAAAAGAAATTTTACTTAGGTAATAGTTAGAATCTAAAATAAAATACTTCCGTTATTATTAAAGTTACCAAAGAATTTATTTCTACACCAATTTTATACTCCATTAAGAATAGGAAAAATTATAATTTGTCATTTTGTTCTACCTTTTGGTTTGAATTAGTTTTAATTTTTTAGATCATAACCACAGCAGATGAGCAAAAAGAATCGGGAAAAACGATTTGCACAGTGTGAAAACCATCTCGAGAGAACCAGAATTTCTAAAAAAAATGTGTTTTACGCTGACACAATGGACTTTTCAATATGACCCCGAAACCACAAAATTTTTTTATTCTAACTCAAGGATAATTCCCCTAAAATTAGTGCAAAATCTCAGAAGTGGTTCCAGACGGACGGATAGACGGACAGACAGACGGACGAACGACAGAGGGACGGACGACAGACGAACGAACAAAACGCAAACAATAGCACCTTTTTATCCTTAAAAAATGCCCTCAACATTTGCGTACATACAATTGGCTACATATTGTTTAAACAATACAAATAATTATTTTGCCCTTCTGAAAGGCTTATGATTTTATTTATTTATTTATAAATAATAACTAAAAAAAACAAAATTTAAAAAAAAGTCAACAAAACCGGAACTGCTCTCAAGGACTTCCGAAGCGGACTCGGATACTTCGCACCCGGATAATTCGCACCCGGACATTTCGCTCCCAGGATACTTCGCACCCTGGACATTTCGCACCCGGATAATTCGCACCCGGACATTTCGCACTCGAAAAATTCGCTCCCGAATAATTCACACCCGGATAATTCTGTAAATCTTTGGTTTATTAAAATTAAATATTTTTAAGAGGCTACTAGACCATTGCCTTTACAGAATGTATGTAGTAGTGCACATCTTGGTAAACATCTACTTCATGGAAAAATGTTTCAAATAATAGTTATTTGGGCTTTCATTTTCAACACATCGCGATTCTTAAGTATTTCCACTTCTTAAATATAATCACGCTGGTTTTTTTTTGAAGTTGTATGAAGAGTCTGATATAGTTAAATCCTGTAATTAGGAACACATAATTTTTATCTACTGCGCTTTCGTTTTGAGAAAATAAGAATAAGTAACTGAAACGTCTTTTGTGGAGTAATTAAATACCAAATAGTTATACCTAGTTATAGTATATCTACAATATTATGTGTAACATTCGCTACTTTTGAGACGCTCTTAATATTAAAACAGAATCAACATATAATACCGTACACAAACAAAGTGATAAGTCTAAAGTTAAAAATATTTACATTATAAGATCAAGATGAAAATAGAAAAAGGAAGTAATTTTAATGCTCCTTTACATAAAGATTTCTTAATGAAGACACATAAAAAATTGTTCTTTATTTCTTTAGTTGAAAAGGGTGACAAAGGAAATGAATTAAATTTATTTTAGACAAATCGACTATGTATAAATGACAATAGAACAGTGCATTTCATAGATGGCACTAAATTTGGATAAGTAATTAAGATAATATTATAATTAAAGGTAAATTTGAAAAGACCCCGATAACACAAATTGCGCTTCATAAAGAAACAATAAGAGAAATATCGTAATGACATCCTTTCTATTATTTCTGGAAGATGAATAGGGTAAAGGTAAAAGTAATTAGGTCCGAAAAATCAGGTTTAAGTAGGTATGACCACAACTAATTAGAACTTTAACGCCTGTATAGTATCTTCATTCTTGAACGTTTGACAGAGTGGTATTTTAAAATTTATCTGAGCACGGGTTTTGATTTTGTGTATACTTTTTTTTTAATTTTAAAAAATTTTATTTCTGGTGGTAGTGTTGTGGTGGTGTTCAGAAAAGGTAAGTTTCCAGTTTTCTTAGAACCAGTTTTACGTTTCTTTGACCACATATGGCTATATATTGATTATTGATGACTGAGTAAAATTACACTAACTGCTTATTTTTTTGCGTTATCTTTGCTACAACTATGGTAGTGAATGAACTTAAAAGATTCTTTTTGATTTTCTTACTCTTATTTATTTTATAGTTTGAAGAGACACATGGAAAAATTCTGGCATTTTTTTAAGAGATTGTTAATCAAAACAGTAAGGGTTTTGAAAATCTTGAAACGTTTTAGGAACAGGTCGATATTGATGATTTTTTCTTTTAAATGTTTGTAATTATTAAGTACCTATATACTTCTTTTTTAATTTTTGTATGGCATACCTAGTACTAAAGCAAAACCCTTAGCATTGGTAATTGCGCAACAAGGAATATAGGACATCATTGGAAAGGCTTCCATTCTCTGAATTTGGTGAGACTATAATTTTTTAGATTTGATATTTTCGAAATATTTTAAAAATAAGTTGAGGGCGCACTGTTGTTTATGTCATTGGAAGGATGTCGGGCCGATCACTATGTAATAGAAGCTAATGCGATCGTGCGTCAAAATTATGCAGTTGCAAGTGGTATAAAAATTACATATCCGACGATGCGTGACAAAGACATTAGTGAGCAAGTTTTATTTTAGACACTGTTTCCTTCCATGATCAATTTGACGTGCCAAAGCGTTTATTGAAAATTATTTTAATTTACAGAAATAGCTATGGTTTCTAATGCACCACCGTATATTATTTAGTTTCGGAGAAATAACACCAAAATCTCCCCATAAAAATTGTTATAATAATAAATGGGTAGATTTTGGTGTTATTTCTCCGAAGCTTCTTAAGCACCCCATTGAGAGTCATGGATCTTCACAATTTCAGTATATTATTTAAATAATAGCCATATAATTTAGAGCAAGATCAATTTTTTTCACGATATTTATCAACATTTTTTGCTTTTTTCGTTACTTTACAGTTCTTATCTCTTTAATTTTACGGAAACTCTCAAGAATCTATTTGTTTTACGTTCAAATATGATTATAATTTACTTGAGATTCTTTTAACCCTAGTTTACTGGCCACTAAAACTTTCAAGTTTACGGGCGTGGGGTGGAACGAACCCCAGATAGGAAAGACTAAACTTGAAAGGTACTCGAGCTCCCAGGCCAAAATATTGAAATAAAAAAAAACTAATGGACATTGAAAGTGGCTGTGGGGTGTGATCCACCCCAGACCTGTAAACTTGAAAGTTTTTCTAAAAGTAGTGATAAAATAAAAACTCAAATCCTAAGAACGCCAAAAACGATAGAAAAGACTAAACTTGGAAGGTACTCGAGCTCCCAAGCCAAAATATTGAAAGAAAAAAAACTTATGGACATTGAAAGTGGCTGTGGGGTGCGATCCACCCCAGACCTGTAAATTAGGGTTAAGACAATACATTTCGTATTTCGTTATGTGTCCTTTAAATGGACGACATCGAAGGTTAGAGAACTAGGAAACTTAACTTGCAGCTATTAACAAATAATAATTGTTAAAATTTTATTTAGACTTTTATATTCCTATTGCAATTTTATTTGTACGTGCTAAAAGGTTTCCAAATGAAAAAAACCTTGATTGTGAATTGGTACAATAAAACTGGGTAAATAGGTTTAAGAAATGTCAGGTTACAGTTTTGCTGATAGACCGATACCAGCATTTAGCAGCATCCGTCTACTTATGAACATGAGTGCATGGACAATTTACATCACGGATGAGTGTCTTTTTGCCTTTTTTTGTTTTTTTTAAAATAAATTTTCATTCATGGTACCTTTAGCTAGTGTTCTCATGTTTAATACGGAGATTACAATAAAATAAGTACTAAATTCCAGATTTTGAGTGATATGGATGCTATTAAAGTGACCTCATAATCTCTACTGCTTTGATATGGTCCATTCCAATTAAAAAGGTACATAGGATTGTACGTATGAATTCTTGCCTCATAAATACTATTAAAAAAATTATTCCTCTACAAATTGTATGGCTATTGTTTAACCAACATACGTGCCACATTAAAAAGCCAAAATCAAGGAAAATATCATCAAAAATGGACTTGTCCCTGAGGCTAAAAGTTGAAATTTGATTTGTTACAAACAGTTGATAATGGATGTGAGATTTAGGCGATGCAAACTATACGGGCGCGTAACAATGGAGTTCGGTACAACGAAAAGGGGAAAAAGATACATAATCTATGAAGGATACATGTACCTCTTTGCTAAGAACCTTAAACTCCAAAACTGCTCATCATGGCTGTGTCGAGCGAGAAGAGCAAAGAAGGACCCATCGGCTCTTAGTTTAACATGCAATGCCAGGATCTGGGTCAACGATGACTAGGTAAGATTAGCTAAACCGAGCACTGATTTTGGAAGTGCAGATGGTTTCCAGTTTCAAAGCCCTTAATTGGGTATTTTATTAGTTAGAATATCGTCTTTTGACCTTTTGACTTTTTTATACGTAAGTTTCATCGTTGCTTATACCGTCGTCTAATGTTAGTTTTTAGGTTCGACCCTCCCTTGCAAAAAATTTAGTTTATCAACCTCTTCAAATTTAATTTTACTCTGGAACCAACCACGGATATGGTCGTTGGGCTTTCCAGTTTTACTGCCCTTTTGGGTTTTTAATTGTTTTCCATCTATTGTAAGTTTTATAG